GTAGCTGCACTAACAGTCAGTTTTCCGTCGTCGAATCTGCAAGAAGACGTGCGGAAGGCATGCGCAGAAGATGAGTCTCTTCTGCGGTTGATGGATTAATTATCCAATCTATTCAGTCAAGCTTTGGATAGCTTGTCGTCTCAATATCACTCTTCGACCGAACGGTATTCGTTTCGTGATGGAATGCTGTACTGTTCAGCAGTCGACGGCGACACAACTCGTGTCGTCATTCCGGCTCATAATAAATTGCGATTGCGAATTATGTATGGGTGTCACGATGCCCCAACTAGTGAACATCGCGGTAGAGAAAAGAATTAACTCAAGGTGAGTCGTGACTTCTACTGGCCCCGCCAGTATGAGTATGAGCGCGAATATATTCGCGCTTGCGAAGTTTGTCAACGGGTATAGCCTAGTCCTTCATCCCGCGCACCCTTGCAGCCTCTATTTCGACTGAGTGTTGTCTGTCCGTATCGATGGACTTCGTCTTTGGGTTTCAAAGACGCTCAAAAGAAAAGTGGTATTCTTGTGTTTGTTAATCGGTATGGCAATATAATACATCCAGTTGCTATACCGATGTCAATCACAGCCCAGGGATGTGCTCGTGTCTATATCTGATGCTACTTTACGACTTCACGAATTACCCCGTGAACTCCTGTCTGATAGGGAACCCCGCTTCACAGCAATGTTCTGACAATCCCTGTTACGTTCCCTTTGAACATGTTTGAAGATGTCAACTTCTGACCATCCAGAAACAGATGATCAGACGGAACGCGTCAACTGCGCCCTAGGAGAGATACTTCGAGGGTATGCCCACTTGTTTACGAGCTGGAGTGAGTTCTTGCAGATGGCGGAATTCGCCATCAACAACTCGGTGCACGCCGTCTACGACGCATACCCCGTTCTTCGTGAATGGCCTTTGCCATCCACGTTTACCCGCCTTCTTAGAGTGTGACTCTAGTTTAAAGGAGGGGGGTGGAATCGCTCGGGCAAAAACTGATCTGTTTCTTGCTCATCACCCGTTGATTATGGTGTCGACGTGATAAATGCTGATGTCGATGTGATCGATATCGATGACGATGATGATGAAGACGATGCAGGCCTATTTAGCATCGCCAATGACCGCCAAAGTGGATCGATGATACCCTCACTGGTAAAGACTACGTTCTTTCAGCAGTGCACACGAAGCGCACTGCTGTTGACAAGCATGATTCGGCAGAGGAATTTCTACTGACTCGCGAAGCGGTTGTCCGCTTCGTTCAAGACTCTCCTGCAGATGCAATAGACAAGCACAAAAGAAATGCAGACAAACACGTTCCAGCAAATGTTCTTTCATTTGATGAAAAAGAATTTGTTTTACTGTCAACAGTAAACTCACCGAAGCACGCAGTGAAAAGCGTGGGCAGCAGTAAATTACTGCCCAAGTACATCGGTCCATTTCGTGAGGTGCGCCGAATGGGCAACGAATACACGATTAAACTGCCCCGTAAGGTGCAAACACATCCCACGTTTACGTCGGTTGCCTCCGGCCTTACTTTTAGTACGAGCCCGTTTGAGATGCGAAAGACGATTCCGAGGTCGAGAGCCAAAACTACCTTCGAGTGGTTCCGTTTCAACGAACCAGTCTGGTCGACTAGCGAAGCAACATGTTCACGCAGTTGAGCGGTGTCTCGACGAGCTGCAGCCAGCTCGTCACGAAGAGAACGAGTCGAACGCTCGTTCTCAAGCAGGGCGAACGCAAAAGCGGCACGATAGTCCGAACGATCGTGTGTTAGGGAGCTGTAACTATCCTTTACAAGGTCATGGAGCTTTTAACGTTGAGTCCGTTCATGAGCCAAGTCAGCGCGTGACTAGTCCGTTAGACAGTTCAGCTCTTGAACATCAAGTTGATCCGACCCTCGAGCCGGATCAGGTGTTCTTGCCGCCACCACATCCTTTCGTGGACTCAGGCGGTGGTTAAGGCTTTCCAGTGGAGCGTTTTTTAAACCACCGCGACGTGACTGGAGTCTAGACGAGTTACCTCGTCCGCTGGCGTGGCTATCCACCGGCGTGGGACAGCTGGGATACTCGTGCCCAGCTGATTGTTGATGTTCTGGGTCTAGTCGAAAAGTATGACGAGACTCACCCGCTGCGTTCGAAACAGGGCTTTTGGAAAACGACCTCCCGAACGCGAGCACAGGTGATGCAAAGTGTCAATCCCTTCGGCAATCCCAGAATAGATGCGCGCCCTGCAGTTGGGATCATCAGATAGGTAAGGCTCTCCAGGGGCACAATTCGAGTTGTCCAGGCAACCTGGACACGAATCACCCCACGAGAGACAGGGCAACTCTGCCTGTCTTGATAGTCGGTAAAACAAATATCGCGCCCCGACTGGGTTGCGTTTCTCAAACCTGATGCGAGCTGCATCAATATTGGTGAGCCAGGACTCACGGCCAATGCATTCGATGTTGTGATAGAGGGCATTCCATCCCTGCACCAAGGCGTTGCCGTCCCGAGCACGGCTACCATTACATTACCAATTTTTTTATAAAACGCATCGGTGTAGAATTCTTCCTCAGCACGGATAGTTTACGTGCTGGGATCAGATGGATAAATCTTCCTGCAATTGAACAATGGGATCGATCCCGTACATTAGGCGTGCCAGCCAAGCGGTCCAAAACTCTGGATGGCGGAATCCATAAAGACTCCACTTGGGGAGCGTGGCGCAGGACATTTCGGTCCCTGGCCTCTTGATTGGTGCCAGCATGAGCACTGGCACCAGCGTTACCCCGATCCCTTGAGTTACTTCGCTCGTGGTGATGCATAGGTGCACCATTATCTCCACGAGTCCTATCGTTGGATGGACTTGTGTGAGGCGGAGACTCGTCGGAATAATCACTCGATCCGAAGATCTCGGTCATGATACTGCGGCGCTGACCAGAGCCAGTCAGTCTGGATTTTGCAGTGTCCGCCCCGGGTGATCCCAAGGCGTGAGGAGTCGCCTTTGAGTTGGATGCATCATCCGACTCGCCGGAATAGATGAGCTCAATATCCCACTCTTCTTGATTACGACCCCAGGTACCCGCTGCAGACGCAACGGATGTACCTGTCGCACGTGGTGACTCACCACGTGGAGAATTCACGACAACAGGCGACGAATCGCCTGCTGCTGAGGCGTGAGAGGCACTTTTCGCGGCCGCACGCCTGCGTGCAGTCGCCCTTCTTACTGCTGCAGTATCAGCTCGCGTGATTTTGGAAACCATGCGTTGGATTTACGAATGAATGGAATTTGACCAACAAGTGCTCCCTTTCCCAGGGTGATCCAACGGTGGACACCCCGTCCCAATCAACTCTTATTCAATCAACTGGTGATTGATGGTTAAGGGGGGGTAATGTAACGTGGTAGCCCGTTACATGAAATTGACACCAAACGGTGTCAATCGGAATATTGTCTAGCATGACGATATTCTACCAAAATTATCCAAGATAGGTAATTTTTAAGAAACGATATCCCCTTTTGGATAATATTTATGCGCTGCTCCAAGATTGGTTGATATAAGACATTTCAACCATAGATTGCCACCAATCGCTGCTAGACGCGCGCAATGAGTGGTGAGCAGGTTGTCGTCATACGTCGGCGTAGTTATAATAGTTAGATAAAGAATAAAGTTATGTTAATAGCTTAACGATATTAAATACAGTTCTCTTTTAACCTTCACTCAAACGAGCTATTTGAAGAGATTAGCTTCCTCTGCACGTACTAGTTTACGTGAAGTTACGTGTCATCCCAAACAAAGGGTGCCCCGTTACACTAAACCTTTGGTTTTTTCAATCGTATAAACTCACATGCAGCTATGGCTAGTATCAGTAAGCTACCAGAAGCTTACTCGGCTAGTTTGCGAGCGTTTTGCATTGTATACGATGCACCGTATCACGGACTCGATCCAAGTATATAGCCGGTACTGAACCGCCCCAAGCATACCTGCGCGGCATGATAGATTGCAATGTCCCTGCAGGCTGCTCACGACACCACAGCTGTGGACAAAGTTGGGTACGACCTTAGCACGGAGGCACTGGCAAGAATGGACACGTGCACGGAACGTAGTCAGTGCTGTTCAGTCGTAGTGCGTCTTCATCTGCACTTGATCGAAGTAGTTAGAAGTAGAAGCAAAATGAATCTAGCATCAACCATTTTCCTTTGTCAATGCTTCGACATGCACCAGTCAATGGAAGCTCTTCAATCTCCGCACATCTGACATTCTATGTATAGCATAAAACGGGTAAACTTCAGTAGTAAGCTAATTAGCTGTTCGTAAAAAAGTTTGACGGTGTTTGTAGTACGGAATACCGAAATTCCAAGTACAAAATCCGTAACGGGGCACCCTGAAGCTTGTACTGGTTACATTACAAGCTACTTATTCCGATGACAGAATAAGGCGGTGCCGCGTAACTTCACGTACACTCGTACGTGCAGAGGAAGACGGTAAGGAGAAGCGAGTACTTGGTTAAAGTACAAAAGTAGAACAGTATTTATCATAGTTAATGTCTGCAATAAATCACTGTTTATCCTCATCTAACTATGTCTACATGCAAATGTGCATATCAACTATCTGCTCACCACTCATTGCGTGTGTCTGTCGTGGCGCGTCTTCGTTGGTTGATCTAATGGCGTAAATCAACCAATTAGGAACTACTCGTAAGTGCTGTAGAATATTTGTCCTTATGACAATATTCTGAGAATGAAACTCTCATAGTTATATTCTATTAACAATTTCTTATAAATTGTGAAGTAACGGTTCACCCCGTTACAGAATCGCCTCGCCCCACATGTCGCTCTTTCTAATAGAAATCACTTCGTTCCGTTAAAAGGCACTGGCTTCAGGTAGAGTGATCAGTTTACGAAAATCGGTTTCTGATTTTTTGTGAACGAATCCACTTAAGTGCGGATTCATCAGCAAACAAAACGTGTCACTGGCTCAGACGCACTTACAGCTGCGGCTCATAGAAACCATTAATCTTTGGCCATGCGACTTCTTCGCCTTGCTCTTCCTCTGCACGCTGCCTTGTTGTTTGCGGCACTCGATGCTGCCCGTCAACTCAACCTTTCCTTGTCGATCGATTTTAACGATAGTGGGGGTCCTGTTGCAGATCCACAACTCGCAACCAGCAACAAAGAAGAGAGAACTGCTGCTGAGATTGCCGAGGGGGCTAAGAAAGGGATTTCGGCGGCTTTGCTGAAAGTGCGCAAGTTGTCGGGAAAAGGAAAGAAACCTCTGAACGATGTTGTTCCCTGGCAGGCACTTGATAAAGCGACACGGGCACGTCTTATCAAAACCAAAAAAACAACACGGAGCTACACGCAGTTGGCTCCTAAGGACGTGTCAGAAGAGGATACGGTGTCGAAGTTGACGGATCACCACACTGAAGAAGACAAAGCTTCTCGGATCGGTGCGATTAAGGACATTGAGAACAAGGGAGTCGCGAGCATCGAAGCCGAATCGTGGGCCGAGCGGGTACAAGAGCTTGCTGACGATGAGTTTACTCGTCTACGACTTGACTTGAAGGCCTCAGAAATGCAGGAAGAAGGTTTTGTTCCACATATTTTGTACCAGAAATTATTTAGCCTCCCGGAATGCGTACGCTGGAAAGAGTATGTGGAAGAGATCGACACACATGACTCAGCGATGACGATGGTCAAGACTCTGACACGTTTTTTCGATGTTCGAGCTCTCGCTACTGCGTTGATGATATTAAGTGTTACCGATTCAACAGAAGTGCTGGCCACCAAGATGCTGACGGCGCAACTACGGTATTGGGTAAGGACAAAGGTCGATCCGAAAAAAGTCGAGGAGTGGATGCTTGTTGATGAGCCATACCATTTTTATTTAAAGCAAGGTCTGTGTCGTCGGTACGCTGATGTTTCAACGTGGAGTGTGTACGACCCAGCAACACAGGATGCTCTTTTCAAGCACGAAAATGTCATGCTAACATTCACGGATCTGGCTAACAAGGACATGCGACCAGATGCAGACATGCTGTCGGCTTTGAAGCGCAGTCACACTGTGAGTGAAGTGGCTTTGGCAATGGCAGCGGTGGAAGTGGAGGCAGGGGACGAGCGCCTAAAACGTGACGCAACCAGCGTGCTTCTTGAGCTGATTAAACTGTGGAAGATCAAAGAGAAATCACCAGACACCGTGTTCACGCTTTTGGAGCTCGACCATCTAAAAACCCTGTCGGATGGTGATATCCATCTGGCTGATTATGCAAAATCGTTTTTCCTCGACCCGAGGTTTGTGCTGTGGGATGCGTATCTGATGGAACTCTATAAAGGCGAAAGGGAGGTGATGAACATCATGCGTGACACCGTGGACAGAATTTTTGATCGCGACGGGTTTTTCGTCAAGCTACTCACAGCCGCAGAACCGGTTCTAAAGAGAATACGAGAAAGCGTGCCACCAAGCCCATGACGGGGTAGACAAAGCGTTGGATACGTCACCTGTGCCTTTTTTGAACATGCCAGCGTCGGTAGTCGACACGAAGCAGCCGACGGTGATAAGTTGAGCGAGCGGTTTAGTGAGTACGTAGATGCCTTCTTTAAGCCGAACGGTTGGTGACTTTGCAGCGCTTGTAAAGGTAGCAAAATCGAGCGCCGTTGTATATACTTTTTCTTTTTGAGTCGTTTGAATTACTACAAACATGCGATATACCTTCTTCACTAAATTTGCGTCTCTTAGCTCGATCACAGGGGTAGTCCGAATTGAACAGACGCTTCATTGCATTTGAAACCTATTAGCCATAGTGTCACGGTGTCACGGTGAATAGCCATATCAACACGCAGCAGAGGCATTATCGTGATGGAAAATTGTGGCCCGATGTCATCGTCGTGTACCACAGTCGCCGACAATGTTTAGTCCACGTTAATGCAACGGGATCAAAGACGATTCAACGCGTAGAGTATGCTCCTGGCTTCGGGAGAATCTTGTGCAGTAAGATTGCAAGCGTGCAGCTGACGCTGAACGCCTCGAGTGTTCACAGACCTCAATCCTCCAGTCCATTCCTTCGTCATATGTAGATCCATCAACCGAGCAGCTTGCAGACGCGAGTCTCCGAATACCTCCTCCCGATTACTCTCTTGAAGGTCCCCAAATATCTGGTACGCTGTACAGAGCATGCCATGTCCATTCGAGTATCATGTGATCACGCAATGTCATCTGGAAATAAGTTGCTGAGTTATAAACGCAAGATCTGCACTAACGTGTCGTTCGACGAAAGCCTTATGACGCGGCTAGATGCCACGCTTGCTGATAGTGATCTCCAGGCATCGCTTGTCCCTTACCCTGCTGCGCCTAGCACACACTTTGATAAATTTGAAGTACAACGGATCCAGATCCTTGACGCCGGCTTAGTCAACGGTGCTAAATCGGTTGCTATGCAGAAAGTTGTCGCGCTCGGAGACCTGGTCATCTAGGGGTTTCCTGAAGCGTCCGATGGTTCGAAACTAGTAGCACGAGGGGTACCACACGAAAAGCAGCCAGCCGTAGATGTCCATCACAATCTGGAGTAGGATACCGCGTCACTCACCCGCCTTTTTTCCTTATCAGGGAAAGAGTGCTGTACAGTCTGGATGCCGGGCGCTTTCTGATCTGCCTTTGTTTCACTCTCGATCCTGTAATTTTGGCACGAAGTCCAACCTAGCATCAAGTCTGCAAAGCTATACTTGCTGTATCGGGTTGTCTTGTATTGCATTTGCAAGGACCCCGCCTTGCAACTTAACCACACCATCGTGTCCTTCATGCTCCACGTCTGATGACACGTGAACGCATCGAAGTAGCAGAAGCATGGAGACCACGTGTCTCGGCCCCCCGGCAACGTCGGTGCCACTGTTCCAGCCGCACATATAGCGCCAGAAGAGACGGCAACGAGTATGAGCTCAAGGTCGGCGTGGTGACGGTGGCTGACTCATTGGCTCTATCTTCAAATTGTTCCATCAGTGTTTCCACACATCTTCTTGTCTGACAAACACCTGCTTTGCCTTACACCAACCAGCCCACGTCAGCTCCGTAGCCCACGAAACTCATCGACAGGAGCCAGCCCTGCATGTGCATATCCAACACATTATCACAATAAGACTTTAATAATGGCGAAGACAAAGCTCTACCAAAACGAACAGCAACGCACATAAGTCGACGTCCACGGAACATGTTCGTCAAGCACGATGAACAGCGCCAGGTAGACGCGTGATTGAGTACGATATGCCGATGACTCGGAGGTTAGACAGTGCAGCACGTGATGCATTTGTCGTGCTCCTGATCGTCCCTACGTGGGTCAGTTTTTGACCTCGATTGTTGTAGTTAATAACGGACAATGGCAGATTAATACACTGAGGTGAAGAGACTTCGGAACCTTTGACTTGAAATACATATAACGATTGGGGGGTGCTTGTAAATATGGGGCTGTTGCGAATGCTGGGTACAGCACTCTGGCTGATTAGCTGTTCTCCATGGAGTTGTAATTTCTAACAGGTGTTTGACCAGGACACCTACTCGGCGTATCTGTGAAGGCAAATGCTGAACGGCTGAGTTCCTTTTTTTATTCGGATGGATTATTTTGAGCTTTTTGTTCAGGGGTAATCCAGAAGTATACTCAATTCCATCGTGAGAAGGTCTCATGCACCCAATTCAATATTATTTTTATCTACTCTCTTGTGCAACGCTCAAAATAGCTTCGCAGTCGATTTAGTCTGCCAATGCGTGATGTAATATTACACGAATTATGTGATACATAGCAATGAAGAAGATCCAGTCAGTTTATAATTGTGTTTTTTAAAACGAATCTTAAGGCGCTGTGTAGCTGCGGGTGAATGTTCGCTGTGAGAAAAACACTGTAGTCTCCATAAACTACACAACGACACCCCGAGAAGAGAAGTTGGATGGTTGGAGGTGAATAAATGCATGCCGTGAAGTTGCAATACTCGTAAAAACAAGGCGAGAATTTAAACAAACGGGTTATGACAAAACTGCGGCTTTTTTAAAGTGTCAAGACAAGTTTGAGGATGCAAAAGGACGCAAAGAGTTGGTCTTGGAAAAACAGTCGATCAAACTACAGGGGTGTGAAGACCTCAAGCGCGATTTGGTCTTGTGCGAGGGAGGATGTATAAGATTGTACTTTAGGTCGTGTACAGTTTAGAGCGACCGGGGCATGTCGATGTGATCTACTTGGTGCGATTGAGCTTCAAACAGTACACGCTCGTACCGATAAGTTTAATCATTTACATAGTGCTCTTTGTCACTCGATCGAACAACATAGTACGAAGTAAACGTTTGAATTTACAGCGACATCGAAGCGACCTTGTGCTCGTACCAAAAATAGGCCAGACAAATGTTCAGTCTGTAATGACTCATTTTGTATCTTGGTGCTACAGAAGATGTACTGCAAGAAGATCGGTAGAGCTGTCTGTTTCTCGTGTAGTAGAGAGGCTTCCATTAAGAATGACAACTTTGCAGCAGCGAATGAAGGAGAGGAGGTGCGCATCTGCATGGACTGTTTCGAGGCGATTATGAATGTCTCAAAGCTGACGTCTGCACTCGTAAAATCATCCCAAACATTGAAAAGGTGATAAGCTTTTCATGCTTTAGCGATGCTGGTCGGCATGCGGCGTCGCGGGTGGGCAGACGTCACAACGACTGGATGGACAATCAACCGAAGATCTTCTTTATAGTTTACGCACCGTGAAAGCTTCCTGTCAGCGCGAATTCGGTATATTAAATGTAAAGGGGCACACTTTGTTGGGGGTGCCACGAAGCTTCACGTACTCTAGTACGTGCTAAAGAAGCTAATATACTCAAACAGCTAGTCTGAGTAAAGGGTAAAATGAGAACTGTATTTAATATAGTTAAGCTATCAATACAACTGCAGTCTTTAGCTAACTATTTTAATTTACATTGCTGTATGACGACAACCTGTTCACAACCCATTACGCGCGTATAGCAGCGATTGGTGGAAATCTATGATTGATATGTATTCTATTAACCAATCTTTGGGCAGCGCATGAATTTTATCCAAAAAAGGGACATTGTTGCTTCAATAATAACTATCTCGAATAGTATTGGTAGGGAAATGTCACGCTAGACAACATCCTTATAGACACCGTTCGGTGTCAATTTCATGTAACGGGCTACCCCGTTTCATCACGCCATCCTCTAACCATCATCACGTTGATCTGATATAATTGATTGGGACAGCGTGACCACCATGAATCAGTCTGGTAAGTGGGATAACTCGTTGGTCAAAGTCAAACTTATTTGCCAATTCTTCGCATGGTGTCAAATTCCATGCGGTGCCCTGCCGAAAAAGCCAGAAAGGCGGTTGCACGCATGCGTGCAGCCGAAGAGCGTTCTTCTCTAGCTTCAGCAGCAGCTGATCCTTCGCCTGCTGTTGCGATTAGCACCGGGCAGTGCCTGTTGTGAGTAGTCCACGTGGTGAGTCACCACGAGCGACAGACCCATCCGTTGTTTCTGCAGCGCATGCTAAGGCTCGCATTGCGGATGAGCCTAAAACAGGGTTCATCTATTCTGGCGAGTCAAATGATGCAACCGACTTGAAGGCGGTGCCTCCCGACTCCGGATCACCCGGGGCGGCCACTTCAAGAGCCAGATTGACTGTGTCCGAGGAACATGGCGGTATCATGTCCAAAATCTTTGAATCGAGCGACTCGTCCGACGAATCCTCGTCTCATGCAAGTCCATCTGCCACTAGGACGTGTGGTGATGGTGGTGATGCACCTACGCGTCGCCACGAGAGAACCAACTCGAGGGATCCAGCTGCTAGTGAGGTTAATGCTCATGCTGACACCACACAAGAGGCCAGGGACCGCAATGTCCTGCACCAAGCTCCTCAAGTGGATTCTCCTTGGATGCCATCATCCAAGGAGTCCGATCCAGTGGCCGTTATGACCACCGAACGGGACAGAAATCTGTTGTTCGACTGTAAAGGATCTGTCCGCCTATTTTTCAGCATGTAAACTATCAGTGCTGAGGAAGAATTCTACACCAATAAGGTTTTATAAACATCAGTGGTACAACGGAAACCGAGGCCGGGACGGTGAGGTCGTGGTTCAAGGATGGAATGCTTTAATGCACAACATCGAGTGCATTGGCCGTGATGCCTGGCTCGGTAAACTTAATGCAGCTTGCATCAGGTTAAAACAGCGCAACCCAGTCGGGATACGATACAAGTTGCATTAACTGTCAAGAGAGGCACGATTAACCTGTCTCTCGTGAGACGATCCATATAAAGGGTGCCTGGACAATGCTAATCATTCTCTAAGGCAGGCAATCCTTCCTAATATTCCCTATCGGAGGGCGCTCATCTCTGCTGAGATGGCCGAAGGCATTGACACTTTGCGAGTCTGTGCTCGCGCTTGGAGAGGTCGTTTTCCGACGGCCCTTCTTCGAACGCAGCGGGTGGGTCTCGTCACATTGCTCGACGATACCAAGGATATCAACAATCATCCGGGCACGAGGCTCCCAGCTGTCTTATGCTGGTGGATAGCCACGCCAGTAAACGAGGTAACTCGTCCGGACACAATACACGTCGCGGTGGTTCAAAATACGCTCCCCAGAAAGCGTTGACAAATGCCAGAAACCACCAAAGGATGTGGTGGTGGCGGAAACACCTGATCCGGCTGGAGGGTCGGACCAACTTGATGTTCAGGAACTATACCGTGTAACGGACCAGTAACACGATGACCTGGCTCACGAACGGACTCGGCTTTACGAGCTCCATGACCATGTAAAGGACAATCACAAATCCTTAGCGCACGATCGTTCGAACGATCGTGCCGCGTTTGCGTTCGCAAAATTTAAGATCGGGTTTCACTAAGTAAAGAACGAGCAGAGGCGTCAAGCCTTTCGCGACGATATGTCTGACATTCGTCGCCGAATGGCGGTATTACAGAGCCAGATTAAAAATTGGCTTAGGACCAAAAGAATCGTTTATAGGTTCTTGAGCGTGATAGGTGCATTAGCCCAAGGAAGAGTACTCGTGCTGATGGTACAGGAGGAGACGGACGATTCAAAACGTAGCATGCGTGCGTATCATGCAAAGGCAGCTCGATTGTGTAAGTATTGCCTGTGCGGTGTAGATACGAAACTTCCCGTTGTACTTGGGTAGTAGTTTACTACTAACCACATTAGTAAATACGTGCTTAGGTAGATTAACCGTTAGGTAGTAGAACGAAGTCTATGATATTCAAAAGAAGAAGGTTTGCTCTTCCATAATCAGTGTGCTATTCCGATCTGCAGGTCCACCTCGTTAGCGATGGAGTCTTTTATGAAACACACCACGACTTCTCGGGTAAACAGAAAATTCTCTGCTTACTTCTTTGTGTCCGTATCAGTGTGCAATGTGCGCAATGATAAGATCTGTGATCTCATCTTTCAGCGAGGGTATCATCATCCTTCCGGCTTCTTCATTCCGATTCGGAATATACCATGGCATCATCATCCAGTCTGGGTCAGAATGTGATCGGATTGCTTATGATCCATCACGATAACGATTTGATCTGACACTTAATTTCTCTTAAGTCCGGTATTTCGACAAATTGATGAGCATGAGCCGGAAAGGTTTTTGCGACCATATCCTCACAGCCGGCGTAGCAAACTGCAAATCATACCGTAAGGTCTCCTTGTATCAGAAAAATTGCATGCGATGTACTGTGACAGAATTCTTCGTTCCGAGAACTCTGCCACATGTGACATTGCGTAATGCGTCAAACAATTCAACATAGCAAAAAGTCACTTTTATCTGTCAAACATTGGTCATATCCTTAAAGCGTCCCTGCGAGGAAATGGTCGCTCGCGTTCTGTCTGAACATTATCTCGGGATATTAAAGTTAATTTTACAATTTGCGAGATAGGAACACACATTGTAAGCGCCGTCTGTAACAAGGGTTTTATGAGATTAGCTGACTATGAATTAACTGTAATGTTGCAGCAATGAAGACAATGTCACAGCCCTGTGATAGAATCTCGAACGGCATTAGGATGTATGATCTTGCTGTAACGATCAACGAGCACAAGAATACCATTATTCTTGTGAGCGTCTTCGAAGAAACTGACTTATAAAGTCCAACCTCGCAAAAACGGACTGCCTACACTTGCCGGGACTAGCAGAATCTGTAGTGGCGCACGGGATAAATGAAACGAGTCTACCCGTTAGCAAACGATCGCAAGCACAAATGTACTTGCGCAAAAACTGATATTGGCGGGGCCAAAAGAAGTCGCGCCTTATCGTGA